TGCGTTTGTGCAATAGGTTATTCCAAACACCCCCTTTCTATCTCTAAGTCATACATATATGGTGTGTTTTGAACAGCTTATTTTAAACTTATGTGTGCTTATGTTTGACATTAGAATTTTCGTGAGTGTTTATGAGCGCTTATGTCACGCTCAAATGCTTTGACAGTGAAACAATGTTTCCTGTTTTATCATCACTTCAAATGCTTTGACAGTAAGAAACAATATTTCCTGTTTTATCACTACTTCACATGTTCAGTAACTGTTTTCCTAATTATATGCATTTGCAGACCAAAATCAGATGTCTGTTTTCTAAGATTTTATTATAATGTACTCAGGCCACAAGTGCTGGATTGAAGGATCAAGAGGCAATTAATTTCTTGGAGAAGAAGATGAAGAACGACCCTTCATTTACCTATGAGGAGACAGTTCAGGTTACATTTTTGCTTCTTATTTTTTCCCCTTTTGATCATCATAATTTCATAGACAGCCTTTTAGGCTTAGCTGTTTTTTTTGTTAGGAAAGGAGACTACCATGTTCTCAGCTGTCCTTGAGAACTTGTGTGCTTCTAAGAATATATTTCAACATCTTGGATATATATTTTTCCATCTATTGAGGATAAACAATGACTTTCTTGATCCCTTATTTTCCTCCTTTTTCTACTTTACTAAGCCTTTTGCAAAATAACAGTATTTACTATACCATTATTCTGTATTAAAATAAATATATGTGCCATTTGGGTGCTTAAGATTCGCTGTGTGATAAGGTGACTTGGTGGTTTGGGGGCAGGACATAGGGGCTTGAGTGATATGGGGGCCACAAGTTAATTGACCCCACTAACAACATAACTAACAAATAATTTTGGCTTATCAAGTTTTTTAAATTGTTATGTAATCATGCTTTTTAAAGTTCTAACTAATTCCATAATCTTCCTGCTTTTTATTCAGACTGCAATTTCTGCCTTGCAATCAGTTCTTCAAGAGGATTTTAAGGCGACTGAGATTGAGGTAGAATTTCATTTTTAATGGTCAAATACATTTGTGACACCATGTTAATTGAAATTTTGTATAGTAACTTCTTATTTTAATTATTTAAGGATTTCATTCTTGTCCCTCAAGTGCCAAATTATTTATTGTCTTCAGTTGTGATGATTATTTGCGCTACTTATTCTTTTTCATTTAACAATAGCCGTGTAGTTTTAATCCTGCACGGGTACTATGATATCCATCTCTATACATACATTTTAAAAAGCGCATGTACCCTGACTCTTATCCACATAGGTTTGTAATTTTGATACCCTTATCAATTGGATACAGAAGGACCTGTGCCTATAGTAATCAAACGGGTATTTACCCTACCCATTGTGGATAAAATTTGCACATACATGTAGGATCCATTGTTCATTTTTCATTGTCATCCCTAGATTATAATCAAATTTCTGTTCCTTTCCTGTTTCAAGTGATTGTTGATTAGTTTATAAATTTTCTCGATGATTTATAACTAACGTAGGTATTGGTGTGTTTTTCATTCAATGTATTGTAATGTTAGTTGTTCTATACTAAGATTCTTTGAAGTTACATACTTGCTGTGGCATAGATCAAGTGTGTTGACATTTTTATTCTACACGCATATATTGGGAATCATTAAATTTGCGGTTATTGCTATCCACAAGTAGTACTTTTCATCATGATTTTATGTAAATGGCTATATTTTGCATTTTTTAGGTTGGGGTGGTGCAAAAGGACAAGCCAGAATTTAGAGTTTTGTCGACTGAGGAAATTGATGAGCACTTGACTGCTATCAGCGAGCGTGATTGAGTTCAAAATAAGGATATGACTGTTCAAACTCTGTGATGTTCAATTAAATCATATACTTAATTCACTAAATTAATATCCTTATGATATTTGAGTATATCACTGATGTTGAAAGATTGTATTTGCTTCTGTTACAAGTTGGAGCCTTCCAATCAATCATGTTTACATCTTCTATCCTTGAAACGTTTTACAATGTCTGTGTTTGAAGAAACTAGTGTTTGAACTGAACAGAGTAATGTTGGTCCTGTCATAATTTCAATACAGTTTTTTCTTAAAAATTTGGACTAGCTAACAAAATTAAGGGGGTCATTGATGTTTTAATGCATACATAATACGGAAAAATTGGATAACAAATGAAATAGGAAATTTTTTGTATAAATAATGGCGGTTAAATTACACTACTGTCTACATTCCCGTGTATGTCTCTGTTTTTTTAATATTCATTTTATTTTTATTTTTATTTAATTTTAATTTTACTTTAAATTGTTTATAAAATATTACAAAATAATGAATATGATGGAGTATATTAATACTTCTTTCCAGGTGAGTTTCCACTTCTTTTTTCTTATGATGTGTTGGTTTCCACTCTAGTTATTTTCTCGTGCTAAAGAGAAATGGAAAACTCAAAATTCGTATCAATATCATGTACTCGTGTGATTACTCAATTTTGGCTGTTGATTGGAGCAATATCATGAGTAGTTTGGCTTAGTTTAAATAGGTTTTATATAATAAACTCGTAAATGTTAAAAGATCATGATTGAAATAATCACTCTCCAGCGCATTAAAGTGTATGGTGACTTGTGATTGGAGTATTTGAGTTCAACTCGAATAAATTTAAACAATTTTCAATTTGGTTGTTGATCGAAGCAACATCACGAGTAGTTTGACTTAGTTTAAGTAGGTCTTATATAATCAACTCGCAAATGCTAAGACCATGATTGGAATAATCACTCTTCAGCGCATTAAAGTGTGTGGTGATTTGTGATTGGAGCATTTGAGTTCAAACAAATTTAAACAATATAAACTTCTACAATGTAAAATTGTAGATAAATATTTTTTTAATTCTCTTTTACATCAAACAACATTTATAACTCAATTTGGAGATTTGTTCACTTAAAACAATGATCAAATTATAAATTTGAATGTTCACACAAACTTCACATTAGTTTTTCTTAAACTTTGCAGTTTCACATGAGTAATCACTTCTCGTACTCGTGTGATTACTCAATTTGGCTGTTGATCGGAGCAACATCACGAGTAGTTTGACTTAGTTTAAATAGGTCTTATATAATCAACTCGTAAATGTTAAGACCATGATTGAAATAATCACTCTCCAGTGCATTAAAGTGTGTGGTGAATTGTGATCGGAACATTTGAGTTTAACTCAAATAAATTTAAACAATATAAACTCCTACAATGTAAAATTGTAGGAAAACATTTTTCTTAATTTTCTTTTACATTAAATAACATTCATAATTCAGTTTGGAAGATTTCTCACTCACTTAAAACAATGATCAAATTATAAATTTGAATGTTCAGATAAATTTTACATTAGTTTTCTTAAGCTTTGCAGTTTCACATGAGTAATGACATCTCGTACTCGTGTGATTACTCAATTTGGTTGTTGATCGGAACAACATCACAAGTAGTTTACCTTAGTTTAAATAGGTCTTACATAATCAACTCGTAAATGTTAAGACCATGATTGAAATAATAACTCTCCAGCGCATTAAAGTGTGTGGTGACATGTGATTGGAGCATTTGAGTTTAACTCGAATAAATTTAAATAATATAAAATCCTACAATATAAAATCCTGTAGGGAAACATTTTTTTTTTTAATTTCCTTTTACATCAAACAACATTCATAACTCATTTTGGAGGATTGTTCACTAAAAACAATGATCAAATTATAAATTCGAATGTTCAGATAAACTTCATATTAGTTTTCTTAAGCTTTGCAGTTTCACATGAGTAATGACATCTCGTATTCGTGTGATTACTCAATTTGGCTGTTGATCGGAGCAACATCACAAGTAGTTTGACTTAGTTTAAATGTCTTATATAATCAACTCGCAAATGCTAAAATCATGATTGGAATAATAACTCTCCAACGCATTAAAGTGTGCGGTGACTTGTGATTGGAGCATTTGAGTTCAACTAGAACAAATTTAAACAATATAAACTCCTACAATGTAAAATTGTAGATAAACATTTTTTTTAAAATTTTCTTTTACATCAAACAACATTTATAACTCAATTTGGAGGATTGTTCACTTAAAACAATGATCAAATTATAAATTCGAATGTTCACACAAACATCACATTAGCTTTCTTAAGCTTTGCAGTTTCACATGAGTCATCACATCTCGTACTCGTGTTGTTACTCAATTTGACTATTGATCGGAGCAACATCACGAGTAGTTTGGCTTAATTTAAATAGGTCTTATATAATCAACTCGCAAATGCTAAGACCATGATTGGAATAATCACTCTCCAACGCATTAAAGTGTGTGATGAATTGTGATTGGAGCATCTGAGTTTAACTCGAATAAATTTAAACAATATAAACTCCTACAATGTAAAATTGTAGGGAAATATTTTTTTTTTAATTTCCTTTTACATCAAATAACATTCATAACTCAATTTGGAGGATTTCTCACTCACTTAAAACAATGATCAAATTATAAATTCGAATGTTCAGATAAACTTCACATTAGTTCCCTTAAACTTTGCAGTTTCACATGAGTAATGACATCTCGTACTCGTGTGATTACTCAATTTGACTGTTGATCGGAGCAACATCACGAGTAGTTTGACTTAGTTTAAATAGGTCTTATATAATCAACTCGCAAATGCTAAGACCATGATTGGAATAATAACTCTCCAGCGCATTAAAGTGTGTGGTGATTTGTGTTTGGAGCATTTGAGTTCAACTCGAATAAATTTAAACAATATAAACTCCTACAACATTCATAACTCATTTTGGAGGATTGTTCACTTAAAACAATGATCAAATTATAAATTCGAATGTTCAAACAAACTTCACATTAGTTTCCTTAAGCTTTGCAGTTTCCATCTCGCTCGCATGTGAAGAGTTATCCCTTTTGAGAGGAACTTCGTGTCTTGAATAGTGTAGCTGCAAATGATGATGCCTTGAATTATGTTAGCAAAGTAACAACAAAATGCCATCAACACCTTTTCCACTTTCCATCAGCACTCCTTGTAAAAATGCGAGGTTGCTTCTTTGGAAAGGTTTCTGTCCAGTGTGGATGCTCAATCATGTACTTCCACTGCCTGAAAATGGGAAATCTGGTCATTATTTCATGTGATATTCAAATAAATATGAAGTTATAGAAAACAATGGATTGTACATAGATTTGAATTTAGACATCAGTTTATTAGTCTACTACTTGTTGACAATTACTTCAAAGACTGAACTTTTAAATAAGATAGTATTAAATCAGAACCAATCAAAGTTTTACCTTTTTAAATTATCAACAAAATCTGGGGCCTCAGCAGTAGGTGAGGTAGAACAGATTGAAAGAATTTCTGAATCAGAATAATGCTGAAGTGACAAAGCTGTATGATATTGACGCCGAGTCCTAAAAGGATTGGGCCAAGAAGTTCAGTATACCAGAATATAAAAAAAAGATTTCATGCATCAAAATATAAGTTCGTCAGCGAGGAAAAAGATATCAGACATTGGAAGAAAATAATTTTCACCAATAAGCATGGCCTGGCACAATTTATAATTGGACAAAGCTTCTATAAAGTGATTGATTTATTTGAGCTTATGTACTGACATAAGCATCCGTGAAACTGTTTGGGAGAACTTATGGAAACGGCTTATGACATGTCTATAAGTTGGTAAAACACGGCTTATAGTTTATTATGAAAACTAATGGACTTAATATTTTCTTTTGTCATAGAAATAACATATAAATAAGCACTTATATGATAGGCGCTTATGTCATAAGCCTTAATTAAGTCGTTTATCTAAACAAGGTTTTTGTCTAGAATAGGGAGTATCCGCCTTTTGTATAAGGGAATGTACGACATACTTGCATGTTTACTTTAGATCGATAAACTACAGCATGCTCACCTAAGGAAAATCTCATTTTAAAGGAGTTTTTTCCATTAATCAATCTTATTTCAGAACTGTGCACATAAACATTTTTTCCATGTAGAGTTTTTAGAATAATTCATGAAACACTGTTACCAGCAACAAGGAGCAATTTTGAAGCAGTCAGTGACAGTATCATATGTCTCAAGCAACTTCCCATTCCAACTAGTATCTTCATAAGAAACAGAAACTCGTATTCTTCTGACAATTTCATCCGGGCTTCTCGAACTTCTATCAAAACATGATGGGATAACTCTTCCTGTTGCAGTATCCACCTGAAATGGTGCATAGGATGTAATAAATTAGAATCCGATTTAATGGTTTGAAAACGCGTGTAATTATGGCACCAAAAAAGACTACAAACAGTTTTTGCAAAACCATTGAAACCAAAAATGTATTATGTTACCAAATACTCTAGAAACGGGCCTTTCACCAAATAATGAACAAGCTGAAATGAGAATATTTAAAAGCAAAAACTAACCACAAATCCATTAAAAATAGGATATGTGTTTCCATCGGAATCCCTTTTGGTATTATGTCCAAGAACACAAGTAGTTCTGATATGAAATTTCTCCTCTCTTGACCATAAAGTGTGAACAATCTTTGAGCACAGAGGAAGGGAATGACCATCTAAATCTGCATCACTTTCTGACACAATGATGCCATTAGCATGCTGCACAAAAGGTCACAACAGATTCAACTTCAATCATTCAATCTCTGAGCAGAAACTATAAAATTGAAAATTCACTATCAAAGCATAAGACACTAGCCAGACTTGTGGTGAAACTTCTTCAAAACCTCCAATTAGATGCACCTACATTTTTATTAATAGAGCAAACATTTTACATAAGAAAATATGCTACACAACCAAATGACAAAAAATAAATCCATATAGAAAGTAAAGAATCAAAGAAGATGAAAAGCACATCAAACTCAGTCTCCAAACTGTCGCCAACAAGTAATGTTAACATTTGAGAAATGCCCATTTCTACAATATTTGGTGAATCCATATGGGAAACCGACGTCCTGCAGCATCAAATTAAAAATGATAACATAAGCATTTGAACAACAACAACAACCCGTGGAAGAATCTGTAAAACTTGATACACAGTAGACATTCCATCTAATTCTAAATCCTTACATTCCATTCTTTGGATTCCGAATAACAACTCCTACACACGTCGTCGCTTCATCAGTGCCAACAAACTAATGATGCATTGAAAAGAGAAAAAGAAGCAGATAAATACGCTGTTATTGAAGATTTGTAAGACTCAGCCAATCAGAAAAAGAAATTTCACAGGTTATGTCCCTTGCAGTCTAATTAAGTACGAGGCAACTGCATGCAAAAGAGTATTAGTTGCAACTTGCCAGCTACAATGAAGTACAAACCAACTTAAAACTAAATATACAAATTGACATGCATCATATCCTATGAGTCACATACTCCGACACGGACATGGACACAGGGACACCGATAATGTAAAAAAAATATAGGATACCGTGGCAGCTACGTATATGATAGTATTTGGGTTTCATACATGAACAAATGCTGGATCAACAGTAGCATATTCCTTTTGGAACAAATAAACCAATTTTGAACTGTCTGGAGTAGACCCCTCAGAAAGTGAGAACTTCCTCTCTAGGGTTTCCTTGAAAGAGGTTGAGGAAGATACCAGAATGGGACTTTCCAACAAAGAAAGTAGAATATCCAGTCCCTGTTCATAATTTGACATGTTCATCCAATGATTCTAACATGATAAATGTATAATTGGAAAGAAAGAAGGAAAGAAAAGGTGTAGCTACCTGAGATGTTGGGGATGAATGGGTAGAGAATGGAACTCCATCAATTAATAACATGATTTGTGTTTTTAGAATTAGATCAGTTTGCGTTGGAAATAAGCGTCACAAGTGGAGTAGCAGTTTCTTCTTCTTCTTCTTCTACAATCTGGGGTTTGACCGATCGCACTAAACCATTGGAGAATTCTTGGATTTGTTCAGATGTAAATCAGGGAAAGAGGGATGAATGTGATTATAATAAAAGTCAAATAGTTTTAACAATTTTGGAGTGATTCATTAACAAAAACTATTTACATTTTAAGTATATATGAATTAGATTCTGTTAATAAATAATTATTTTTTTACTACTACATACAACATTCTTTCCATTTAGGATGAAATCTTATAAATGGTAGTAGTATATACTCTCCGTCTCATAAAAAAGTGAAATTTACTTACGAGAAGGAGAGAGTAAATTTCTTGCAATACTTTTTTTAAAAGAAAATTTAACACTATTATATGATTAGAAGCGACATTGAATCCAAAATCTATAGAGTAGAATATAACACTTCGTAGTTAATTATAAACGTTATTGATTTTACTGGTTGATCAAAATCTGCAAGTGGGTCGAATGATGATCTTTGACTAACTATAAAGTTGAGAAGAAAAGAGAGTTGTACCTGTAAGATATTCCGACAATCAAATAAGTGTGAGAGCAAAGAGATACAAGTAGAATATTAGAGTTTAAGGTGTGAGATGGTGAATACCTGACCCTTACATGTGTGATGGTTTATATAATGTTCCCCCGATGCATAACCATTAGTTCCTATTTTTGGACCTAGATATACAGGTTCGTAAAAATAGGTAATTGTCAAGACTGAGTCAAAACGGGCATATATGCTCGTAAGTAGCCATGGTTGTCTAACGGAGTGACAACTTCATTACATTTGCTCATTTTAAACCTCTTCAAGATATCTTGAGCATACTTCGTTTGATGCAAGAATACTCCTTCAGTATCTTTGAATTTCATCCCTAAGAAATATGAGAGATTCCCTAAGTCAGACATTTCGAATTCCTGCATTAATTTCGACTTTATCTTCATTATCTCAGCTTCGTCTGCTCATGTAATGAGTAAGTTATCAACATAGAGGCATAAAATGATTTGACTGACATTGTTGATATCATTTATATACACTCCATGTTCAGAGACACACTTTGTGAAACCTGCTTCGATCAGAAAGTTATCTATCCTCTTATTCCAAGCTCTAGGAGCTTGCTTCAAACCATAAAGAGTCTTCCTTAATCTATATACTTTCGACTCCTTCCCTTTGACGTCGAATCCTGGTGGTTGAGTAACATAGACTTCTTCTTTCAACGGACCATTCAAAAATGTTGACTTTACATCTAATTGATGCATCTTCCATCCTCTATATGCTGATGTCAAAACAATAATTCTGATTGTTTCTAACCTCACAACAGGCTCATATACTTCGTCGAAGTCAATACCAGGTTTTTGTAGAAAACTTCTGGCCACCAATCTTACTTTATACTTCGCAATCTCACCATTTAGCCTTTATTTCACCTTGTAAATCCACTTTACATCAATTGGTTTCTTGTTGATTATGTCGACAAGCTCCAATGTCTTGTTCTTCTCAATAGCTCTGAGTTCTTCTTTCATGGCCTCACACCAATTCAAATTGCTCATGGCTTCGCCCAAATCAATTGGTTATGCTTCAACCATCATCATGGCTTCTTCGATTAAGTCACCATCTACATCAACTACTTGATTTGGAAACCTTTCATATCCCGTTAACCTGGTCGACTCAATTCTTGTTCTTATCGACCTTCTTTCATTCTACACAGGTGGTTCTTCATTTTGACTGGTTGAAGCATCACCTTATTCATTTCGACTCGTTGAAGCTTCATTTTATTCATCTTCTTCTAAAACAATTGTGACTGTATCTGATTATTTTCGAACTGAACTTTGACTCCAGTCCCACCTTTTGCTTTCGTCTACAAGAACATCTCGACTGATCACTAGTTTATCTTTGTTTGGCGAATACAACTTGTATGCTCCGGTCGAATGATAATCTATGAGCACCATGATTTCACTTCAATCATCCAACTTCTTTCTCAGTTATTCAGATACATTCTTGGAACACATTGATCCAAAAACTCTAAGATAACTCACATTTGGCTTCGACCTTGTCAAAGCTTCATGCAGTGTCTTTTCGACCATCTTTTTCGTTGGACATCTATTTAGAATATACGTTGATGTTGAAGCTGCTTCAGCCTAAAATCTCTTAAGCATATCTTTAGCTTTCAACATACTTCTCGTCATGTTCAATATACTTCTATTCTTTCTCTCAGCTATGATATTATGCTGAAGCGTATAGGGTACAATAACCTTATGATCTATACCTTCCTCATTGCAAAATCTAGTAAATTCAGCAAAAGTATATTCACCACCACCATTAGTTCTTAACTTCTTCAATTTGCAGCCACTTTGTTTATCAACATGCAACTTGAACTTCCTGAACTTTATGACCCCACTCTGCCTATCAATAAGGTAAATTCACACATGTTTGGTGAATTCATCAATGAAAGTTAGGAAATACCTGTTACCTCCATTTGACTTCACTTCAAAGGGTCCACACACATGAGAATGAACCAGCTCCAGTTTTTGCTTTGATTTCACGGGAAAGTCATGTTTGGACGCCTTCCTAGCCTGTTTTGCTTTGCAGCATTCCTCGCATACATGCTTTGGTTCCTTTACATGCGGTAACCTAAATACCATCATTTTCTGATTGAGTATGCATAGACTTTTGAAGTTTAGATGTCCATATATGTGATGTTATAACCAATTTTTGTCTTCTTCTGTAGTTGAAGCAAGGCATTTGTGATTTGATGTGTTGAGTTTAACTTTGAACGTTTTATTCTCCGCCAATGGTGCTTTCATTATTAGCCTCCCATCATCGCTATATACCTTCATCTGATTTTTCTCCAGCTTCATATTGAAGCCTTTTGTAGGTAATTGACCTACACTTATCAAGTTGCTTGTCATAGAAGGTACATATAGTACTTCAGTGATAGTAGCTTTTCGACCATTCTTTCTGACAATAGAAATATCTCCTTTACCACCTGATTTGATGTGCCTGCCATCTGCAAACTTTATCACCTTTTCGACTGACTCATCTAATTTGGTAAACCAGTTTTTATTGTCAATCATGTGGTTGCTGCATCCTAAATCCACATACCACATGTTGTTTTTCTCAGTGTTCGACTGAGTGTTCACCATCAACAACACATCATCAGAATCAATATCTCCAACTCGTGCATATTGAGCTTCATCAATATCTTTCACCCTCACAACTTTCTTTCTTTGACAATCTCTAGCATAGTGACCAAAACCTTGACAATTGTAACATTACACCTCTTTCGTGTCAACTTTCTTCCTAGAATACTTGTTGCCCACATCTTTATTGGTCGAATTAGTATTCTTGCTTGACTTCTCATCACTGGCAAGATTCTTTCACTGCTTCGACTTTTCTTTTCCAGATTTCTTGCCGAATCTTGATTGCAATGCTTGTTCAGTCACCTTCTCTATTTATGAGTTTCTCTGCTTCAACCTCATTTCATGAGCCTCCAATGAAGCTTGAAGTTCTTCCAACTTCATCTCAGATAGAGTCTTGGCCTCTTCAATTGTCACAACAATGTAGTCAAAATATGCAATTAAAGATCTCAACACCTTTTCTATCTTTTGCAGGTCCGTAACCGATTTACCACATGCCTTCATCTGGTTTGTTAGCGTCACAATTCTTGAGAAATATACAGAAATTGATTCATCTTCTTTCATCTGAAGCATCTCGTATTACTTCCTTAGCGTCTGCAACTTCACCTTCTTCAATTTCTCATCTCCACCATACAAGTTTTTTACCTTTTCCCAAGCTCCTTTTGTTGTTTCTTCTTCAATTATTTTCTCAAATACATCAAAATCCATACACTGGTGAATCAAGAACAATGTTTTACCATCTTTCTTTCTCTGATCTTTGTGCGCAAATTTCTGGGTTTTCATCACATTTGCTTCTAGTTCTAATACTCCATCATTCAAGATTTCAAAAACATCTTAAAATATGAAAATAACCTTCATCTGCACAACCCACCGCTGATAGTTTTCACCTTTGAAAACCGGTAGATTCGCTGGAAACTGCGTTGATGTTGTTGTTCCGTTTTTCATTAGATTCTCTCTGAATCACAACCGAGCTCTGATACCAATTTATTGAAACAAAAAGTTTTCAAGAAAGATGGTTTATGGAAGAGAAGAAGAAGAAGAAGAAGAGAGAAGAGAAAGAATTGAAAGTTTGTTATTATTGATTGCTCATTGATTACAAACTCAACGGTCCTTTATATAGACAAATAATGCCAGACCCAATTAGACAAAATTTTGCTAAAGCCCAAAACATGATTTCGACAGACTACAATATCTGCTATATTCGATTCTATCGAATACAACTTATAACCTATACAAAAAGCTATTCGACATACACCACACATGCATTTCGACTGAACAAGAATTATGTTTCTAACAAATATTTCTTTTTTTCCTTCTTTATAATAAGCGACAAATTCTACCAAAGAGATTTAACACTATAGGCGACAAATTCTACCAAAGAGATTTAACACTACTGCATATCTATAACTGAATTTGAATTCAGAACTTCTGATTAAACAAATTCTACCAAAGAGATTTAACACTACTGCATAACTATAACTGGATTTGAATTCAGAACTTCTGATTAAGTTGGAAGAGATCTTCGTTATCTCATTAAAGTATTTTTGTGTAAAGATATATTTTTTTCTTCTATTTCATGTTATTTTATTTTCAATTTATTTTATCGTATTTTGATTTAATAGAAAAGAGTATAAATTAGTGTATAGTGATTCTCCTATTTTCTTGGCTAGGAATTTCATAAGTTTTTTTCTCTTAACTTTAGATTTAATGAGTTTCATTATATATGACTAATTATTTTTTATTTTATTTTTGTTGGAATTTAGCTTTGGTGTTAAAATAAATTGAAGTA